GGCAATCCTACTTCCGTAGTGATACTGCCTCGGAAACCCAAGGAGGGGTCGCTATGAGTCGGGGCCGACTCGACAGCACATAACAACAACAACAACAATCTTCACTTTAGGAGCTCTGGTAGCATAGTGCCTAAGGCACTTAAATGCTAACCAGAAGGCTGGCGGTTCAAACCCACCAGCCACTCCTCAGAAGGAAGATGGGACAATCTACTTCTGTAGGGATACTGCCTCAGAAACCCAAGGAGGGGTCGCTATGAGTTGGGTCCGACTCGATGGCACATAACAACAAACAACAATCTTCACTTTGTATATGTCAACTAAATTCTAGGATTAATGCTTTTTTGCTTTGAAAAGTTTATTCAAATTACCCCTTGCTCTTGAATTACACTCAAAATACTGAGCTGATTTTCAGCCAATTCATGCTTTTATCTTGTTTCTAAGCCATTGTAATGGCTATGTTAGAACTGCTCTATTACTGTGTGCCAGTGGAATATGTGAAACTGCTGAGACTTCTTGATGTCATGGTAAAGCAAAATGGCCCTCCTTACAACTAAATTCTAATACTTAATCATCCTAGCATAATATACGTTTACTCTGGTACTGAGTTTGTCGCAATTGTGTTTCCCAATTTTTTAATTGTCAAAAATCAGCAGTCATTGTGGTAAACTGTCATCAATGTCATGAGACAAAGTATATGTGAACTGCTGTATGGAAAGTGAATTTACTCTGTAAATCTTCATACAAATCACAATTAAAAAAAAGAAAAGGAAAGAAAAAAAAATCAGCAGTCATTTTTTTCAAAATGATATTCCTAAGGAAAAAACCTGGGTATATTTTCTATGTTAAACAAATAACAGGTTGTATATGTGATAACTAGGCAGGTGTATGAAGGGGCGTGCTTCTGATTTTTCTAATAACAAATGTACAGCTTCATGATTATTACTTACAAATGTAAAAATTATTAGGGGGGAAAAAAATCTTTAAATAAAATGAGTAGATAGTCTATGTCTTTTTTGTTTTTTTAAATAAAGTATCAAATAATGATTAGGGACTTGACCAAAAGTTGTACCACTGGAATACATACAGTAAGCCTCACCAACCTTCTTTGAGCTCAATTTATTTAGTTTATTAAGAAATAGGCAATGTTTAGGTTCTTAAAAAGTATGCTTTAACTTCTCTTGCTCTGTTTCGTTTCTCAATCACATAGAATTTCCTTTTCACAGCCTTATTAACAAAAGATATCATCACTAATGTTTTGGACAGCCTGAAAGGTAAAGGGGAGAGGGTTGCTAGGAGAGGCAGTAGTTGGGCTGGGTAGTATGCCAGGAAATCCAAGTAGCAGGGCCAGAGCTGTGAGGCAAAGAGCTTTATATTTCTATGTCTATAGCCATTTTTATTTTATTAAGTAACATCTAACATGAAAACCCAGGTCTAACTTCATATTGGATGTCATCACTATAAACTTCTCTTCAGGCCTGCATTGTTAGGCATGTCTCCCTTTTTGAAAAAGGTATGATATGAGAATTTAGTATCATTTTTTGCACTAGACAGCTTATTTTGTTCACAATCTATTGAAATAAAATATAGGCAAGATTAAATCATAGGATCCTAAGATTCAACACTGGGTTTTAATTTCCTTTAGCCATCTTACTGTCTACTAAGACATTAGCATGGTCAGAAACATAGGTAGTGATAATAGTGTGATAATAATGAAAACTTAAAAAAAAAAAAAAAAAAAAGCTACTTGACTTACATCAGAATCAACCTTTGACAGAGTCATCAGAACTAAACTCTGTTATCAGCTGAAGATTGCTTGCATCTGGTATTTTAAAGAACCCTAGGACTGTAACAAAGTGATCCAAAGACAAACTAAACAGAAGAAGGGATGTGGGAGCAGAAGGAGCTCACAGAAATCTTAGGCCACCAACTCCTCACAATCTACTAAGAGAAGGCTCACATAAGAAAGCAACTTTTTTTTTTTTAAGGAAAGCAACTTTTGTAGGAAGAGTACACAGAGTGCAGTCGAGACTATGCATGAACACAGCAAGACACAAAACATTAGTTTGACTAATCAGTTTTATCCTTTTTTTCCTTTGCAATTACACTGAAAAAGGTAAATTTTCAGCACTGTCCTCAAATGTAAAAAAGGATCTCTGTGTAGCTCAGAAAGAAGTTGTGAGGTAATATTTTGGTATTCCAGTCTCTATTCAACCTTCAATTTTCTCTTGTTGTTGTTGCTGTTATGTACTGTCAAGTCAGACCTGACTTATAGCAACCCCTCCTTGGATTTCCAAGGCAGTATCACTACGGAAGTAGATTCCCCAACCTTCCTTCCGAGGAATGGCTACTGGTTTGAACCGCCAGCTTTCTGGTTAGCAGTCAAGTGCCTCAGGTACTACTTTATATTTTTAAGCATGGCACCAAAGCCATACTTAAAAATAAATAAATAAATAGCCCACTGCCATCGAGTCAGATCCAACTCATAGCAACCCCTCCTTGGGTTTCTGAGGCAGTATCACTATGCAAGTTTATCACCCAACCTTCCTTCTGAGGAGTAGCAATGGGTTTGAACTGCTAGACCTCTGGTTAGCAGGCAAATGCCTCAGGCACTACGCCACTAGAGCTCCCAAAAGCCATACTAACTCTTTAAAGATATTTTTCATTAAGTTAGCTGATTTTAGCAGAGAACGACAATTTGAAAGATACTTGCCATGTAAGGAGAGGGAGCATTATCGTCTGAAACACTGTAGAATGACACTTCAACTGGAAGAGTCAAATGCGTAGGGCAGAAAACACCACTTGCCCCTACCTCGGCAGTGAAACCATCAACAATGCCGAGAGGATCTAAACGATAGTTCAAGACAGATTCCTGGAAAATAGAATAAAATAATTTTCAATCCTCTACCATCCTACAAATTTGACATCCTCTCTCTTATTTTAACTCATGCTAAACTCTCCTTGAACTTCACCACTAGATTTAATTGTTTAATGTATGTTATTATTATCTCCGTAAATGAAAAATATGCTTTGCTACAACAGGGGTAATATCCAAAATTTTTTCATCCATCATGGACTTGAAAACTTATTAACAGAATTCTATCTAAAGATAGTCAATCAGGTGATGATTTCATGGGACAATCCAGTCAATTGGCCTGATATTGTTTTTAGAGTTTCTGTTCTACCTCCTGGTTTCCTGAGTAGTGCCCAGGTCTTAACAGTCTGCCAGCAGCCATCCAAGATAAAATAATTGGTCTCTATTTGCTTGAAGCAGCAGCAGCAGCAGGAGACCCAGAAATCTGAGGAGGAAATGGATCACAGAGATCTGTAATCTGCCTCCTTTGCCATGAGAACAGAACCAGATGGTGCTGTCCAGCATTACTGAACATTTTCATCAAGGACTTAATAGATCCTGATGAAAAAGGAAAAAATATGGAACAGAATTTCTAATTCCTATGAGATTAGACGAAAACCCTCAATCTACTGCCCTGTGATAATCTTTAAACCTCGAATCTTGACTTGAGGGGACAATCATCTTTAAACCAATAGTTTAGTTCAGTTAGTAAAAAATGTTTACTGTGAACACTGTGCTCTTTTAAAGAATTATCTATGTGAGATCAAACTGACAACAGTAACTCTAAAACATAGTGAGAAGTTAAGGGGTAATGACTCTAAGTCAGTGGTGGTGAAATAATTTGGGAAGACACAGTAAGAAGGATGACACAATGTGAAGAATATAACTCACGTCAGTAAATTGTACATGTTGAAACTGCCGAATGTGTGCATGTTTTGTGCTGTGTATACATTGTCACCAAAAATTTAAAAAAGATAAATCTAAGTACTTATAACTTTGAGAACTGATTGGTTCTTTAAAAAGTTCTGTTGTATGTGGCATGTGTTTATTATTTAATTATAAAAATAGTAAATGCTAAGTAGAAAAGAAAGCCTTGATAACACAATGGTTAAGCACTTGGCTGCTAATGGAAAAGGCTGGCAGTGTGCACCAACCCAGTGGCTCCACAGGAGAAAAGACCTGGCAGTCTGCTCCTGCAGAGATCACAACCCACAAAACTCTGTGGGGCAGTTCGACTCTGTCACATTGGATCACAATAACTTGGAATCAACTGACTTGGTAGCCCCTAACAACAAAAGTTAAGGTTCAGATTTGGAAAAAAATATTTGAAAACATATGTGCTTATTTGGCAAATAAGCACAGGAACAAAAGCTCAACATCTTTAGTCATAAGGGCAATACAAATTAAATCAGAATGAGATAGCACTATACATCTAGTAGATTGGCTAAAATTAAAGACTGAACAATGGCAAGGATATGGAAGACCTGAAACGCTCATATCACACACAGGTGGTGGGAATTTAAAATGATATAATCACTTTGGAAAATAGTTTGTCAGTTTCTTTAAAAACTACACTCCAAGAGAAATGTAAACTTACATTCACACAAAAACATATTCACAAATGTATATAAGTAGCTTTATTCGTAGTAGCCAAAATGTCTATTATCAGGTGAATTAATAAACTATGGCACTCCATACAATGGCAATAAAAAAGAATGAACTACTAATACACACTATAACATGGGTGAATCTCATATAATGATGGTGAGTAAAACAAGCCTGACTCCCTGCCCCCAAAAAAAAAAAAAAGAGTAAACACTCTTTATATAAAATACAAACTATTCTATAGTGACAGAAAGCACTGAGAATCCCTCATATGGGAAAAATAGTTTACCCATTTCCAATGGTTGTAGGTATTGTGCTGGACTGAACTGATAGAAGAAGAGAATCACAGGAGAGATGAGTGGAATGGACGAGGACAAGGTTTTTGGAGTAGAAAGCTCTAAACGGTAGCAAGAAAAAGATAACAAGTAGCACCAGAAATCAGATGGAAAATCATCTATTTGGGTGTTAACTTTGGGCCACTGTGTTTCCAAACTCCACCCAAAGCCCCACAAATAATGTTACAATTCTCTCCCAACAGCATTATAGGAGTAAGACAGTCCTGCTTCATGAAGCAAGATCAATATGTTAATTTAGTAATTTTGTAATATATTTTTATTACTGCCATAGAGAATCAAATTCATTAATTAAAATAAGTATCTTCTGTAGTTTACCATAGAAACCAGAAAATTCACTATAAATTAAAGAGGACCTATGGGTTGTGATGTGTTAGAACTTTCTGGGTTTTTTTTTCCTTAAATTACTTGAAAATGTATGTCTATCGTGCAAACAGAATTCTCTGAAAACAAAAGTGTACAGATTGATCTTTTAATCATTTTCCCCTTCCTAAGGTTTTCATTTATCACACTGTTCTCTTTTTCTTATAACTTTTATTATAGGGCAAAGGTTATATACAGAGAGCCCTCTGCAATTTTAAATTGAGGAGGAGGAGAAATAGAAAGTTCAACATATCTGAACTGAACATCTGGAAGGGGACATGGAAAAGAAGTCAAATTACCACAAAACACTTAAAAAAAAAAATTTGCACTAAAACACTAAAAGATAGCTTCAAAATTAAAATATTGTTATAAATAAAGCATATGATAATAAGCATATAATTAATATAAAAAACCACCACTGTTCCAGTAAAGCTACTGGAATTAAATATAAAAAGCTTGAATTATATTCTCCATTAAAACTTACCACTTAAAATTATTTTTTTTAAAAAAGCCATTTACAAAAGCCATTTAGATTTCCAGGAAATGTTGCAAAGATAGTATAGAGAACCATTTGATTTCTAAATCAACCTACTTGATCACAAAGAGGCTGTTATCAATCTATCATTATCCTTCCAGACACTGGAGACAATTTCACCAGGTAGGAAGGTGTTGTCAAAAGTTTATCTAATTTCACCAAGTTCTTTATCTCTTCTCCAGCTACTTAATTCTAAGATGCCACTGTCAACAATTCTTCCAACTCTCCTTCTCATGAAAATAATAATCATGATGACATTTTCAAAGCTTTGGAAAAATATTCCATTGAATCATTTCCGTTTATAAACAAAATTATAGACCTGAATGAGGACATCTGAACCTAGGTAAAGAAACTTCAATTGTTAAAATAGTTTCAAAATGCATTACCTCAAAATTTCCTAGGAGACTAAGACTTGTTACAGGTGGAGCACTAGAACTCAGAAATGGTTTTTCAAGAATATCTGGATCATCTTCAATATTTAAACATGGCTGAGGACTATTCAAAGAACAAATCAGGAAAAGGACACATTATTCAAAATGGTGTAATCACAATGTTATTTATTTATATACAAAATTAAATTAGGAGAATCTTATTTATTGTATTTACTCTACCCATAAAACAAACTTCAATGTAACGAAACTTTAGGATAGAAAATTCCTAGCTGAAAGTCCCTGGCTAGATTTGAAAATCTCTATGTTATATTTGCTAAAGAACATAAATACAGCTTCCCATTAGTTTTTGAGGTAAAATTTATACCACATTAAATAGGGCATTTACTGGAAATATATAAAGCTGAATTCTGTTATCAATTTTCATTTTCTATTAAAAATGAATATACAAAAGTAAAATTATATAACTAAAGAATATGAGAGTATTATCTGCCACCACAGAAACAACTAACTGCCAATGATTTTTTAGAAAGTGGTATGAGGCAAAGGTGGAAGTGAATGACTAGAAATGTATAAACCCACACAAGTGCTATAATCAGCGTAGTAAACAAACAAAAACCAAACCCACTGCCATCCAGTCAATTCCAACTCACATTGACCCTACGGGACTGCCCCATAGGGTTTACAAGGCTATACATTTTTACAGAAGCAGACTGCACTTCATCTTTCTTCCACAGAGTAGCTGATTGGTTCAAAGCACTAACCTTTTGGTAAGCAGCCAAATGCTTTAACCACTGTGCCACCAGAGCTCCTTAAAATCAACGTAAAGTACTAATTTACTAAGACAACCAATATAAAACAGCAACCCATATTAATTTCTTTCTCACTGATTCTTAATAATTACATCCATGTGCATATGACATCATATTGAAAATGAAAAACAACTGATTTCACATAAGATTCCTGTTATAATTTCGATATTTAGAATCAATACTGTTTATTGTGAAAGACCAGATTTTGTCCAACTCTGTCTCATATACACAAATGAATTTAAAGATAAATACCTTCTAGAGGATAAGCTTTTCAGATGCAATAATGAAGAATCCAGATCAAAGCAACCTGACTGTGCTTTTCTTTGAGGAACCTAGAGTCGAAATAATCATTTGAGATTTTAAAAGACTGTACATGTTCTGAATTGATAAAATACTTTTCAAATGAAAGTTAAGTGTATCTTAAAAATAAATCTTCCCTGTTAACAATTTACTTAAAAGCATGTGCTTTATTACATACTGTTCTTTTGTTCTAATTTTATTAACTAACGTGAAAAAAATTTAATTAATAAAAGCACTTTTACTAGAGTTTGATTTTTTAAGAAGCAGAACTATTTTTTCCCAAACCAAATCTTACATGGAATACTAATATATAATATAGTTAAGATTTTTACTTTATATACTTCTGTTCTATTTTTTTAGCAACATTTGTATCTTTAAAATGAAAGAATAATAAAACTAAATAGAGATGCCCACCTCCACTTCACTGAAACATTTCCCAAAACCCTGAGAAGTCACAGAAAAAGGTTTGAAAAATACTTTTCCGAACTGTCAACCACCATTGTATACCAATTACATTAAAGAAAACAAACTATCATCTTACTAAAAATAGCCTACAACTGAAAGGTCCAAGTAAATTAAAGGTAAAATCACATACAACAGCAAGTTGGAAAGAGCCTCACAACACTAACGTAAGCATTATTGTCCCCATTTTAAAGATGAGAAAACAAGCTCAGAGACGTTATGTTACTTTCCTAATATCACACAGCCAGAACGAAGCCATTGTGACTTCAAGCTAGGCTCTTAACCATCACACTTGGATCTACCTATCTGTAAATGCAATATGTGTGGGAGATCTCTATGTCTTTGAGTAAGTGCCTAGGCTCCAAGTCAGACAGCCATGAATTTAATTCCCCAATTACTCAGCTGAAGGTGTCAACCAGCTCCAGTACTAAGTTACAAATCTATATAAAATCTGTGCAACACCAAGTATTATCTTTACATTGAATAGCATTTAAAATGTTAGGCAAAAGGAAGAATCTTGGAGCAATTACATAATCCTAATACAATAAAATTTCTTTTTATTCATTTTTCAGTCTTTTTCCCATTTCATCACATGGATATGGAATGTGCTATCAAAAACTGAAGTATTTTCCAACTAGAAATTTATTGTAAAGGTATATTAAATTTTTTTTCACCTAAAACATGAATAAAATTATTTGTGAACATTTCAAATAAGTTTCTTCATGTTCTAAGCATGAGACAAGAGAAAAGAGCACTTACAGGACTTGAAAGTAGAGGCAATCCAGTTTGAGGATGGAAGGCCCTGGTTGAAGTTCCATCCAAGGAATGACAATTATATTTTCGCCAGGCATTTGAGTGTTTCAGTGGTATAGTTTTCTGCTAAGAAAATACTTAGATTTTAATTTTACTATTTAATGCTTAAATACTTTTAGCATTTTGTATTCATTCTTCAACATCTGTGGTTGATGAAGCTGATGACTGACATAGACTGACAAACTGTGTGTGTATGTGTGTGCACAGATATGGTTTTGTTCAGAAAACGTACAAGTTTTTTTGTAATATGTTGAATATACTCAAATGTTCTAATGAAAGTGTATCTAAAATATAATTGTGCTATCAACATTTTATAAACATTCAGAATCTAGCACTTAATAGGCAAAAATTCCGATTCTTTTAGTTTGAGAAAACAACTTACAGGTAGAGAAAAAATTTAGTTTGCTATTCTGAAATACAAAAATATGCCAATATAAAGACCCATTCACACAGGATATAATTTGGTGGTGGTAAGACACAGAAGGGAGCTCTGGTGGCGTAGTGCCTGAGGCATATGACTGCCAACCAGAAGGCTGGCAGTTCAAACCCACCAGCCATTCCTCAGAAAGAAGACTGGGCAATCTACTTCCATAGAGATACTGCCTCGGAAACCCAAGGAGGAGTCGCTGTGAGTCAGAAACGACTCGACGGCAGTGAGGTGGTTGTTTTTTTTTTAAGACGCAGGAAAATAAGAAACACTCCAGATTTGAAAAATACTGCAGCACTATGTTTTTGAAGTGATATAAGAAACTGGCTAATTCTTAAGAATGTGGGTGAGTTTATATCCAAACCTTAGAAACCCATAAAAACACATGAATAAATATAGGAAAGACAAAGCTGGATCCTGACTCCATCATTTACTAGCTTTGTGACCTTGGGCAAGTTACTTAACCTCTCTAGGCCTCATTTATAACATGGGATTAATACAATCTTATATGGTAGGGAGAGGATTAAGTAAACTAATGTTGGTAAAACATTCAGAAAAATGTCTGGACACATAGTACACACTGTATCATTGTCTCTAAAACAAGTATGTAAAAAAGTAACTCTCAGTGGCTTCAGACATACCATGGCCAGATTAAGCCACTCTATTAAGATCCAGAAAGGATCATGAGAAGTGAATATAGTTAAAGCTAGGGTTTTGTCGAAGGAAAAAAGAAAAAAAAAACTCAACTACTGTTGGGTTGATTTGAACTTCTTGTTAGCAGTCAAATGCCTTAGGCAGTACACCACAAGAGCACCAGAGGGTTTTGTAGCAATTATAATTGGAAATTATTACCAAAAAATATAAATTGGAAACATGGCACAATTTTAAAACACTAAAGTACAGCAAAACTAATGAATCAAGTTCATTTAGATTTGATTAAGGTAGGTAAGAAGTAGGTTACCATATAATTTAGGTACAAATTTGGGATACTGCTTGGGGAAATAATGGAAATGTGAGTCTAATAATCATTTTGGAAGTTAAAAAATGTGGTTTGGTGGGAAGTCAACTAAAATAAAAGTAACTTAAATATTTTGTATTTATATAGCACATTAATTAAAGGCTTACAAAATATTTCCAAATCTATTATTTGTCACAATTCTGTGAGATACGCTAAAGAGCTTTATTGGCCTTACTTTAAAATTGAGGAGCATGAGGTTATAAGAAGTTACATGATTTGTTCAATGTCATTTAAGGACTAAACTAAGAAACCAGGGGTTTTGAAAACAGCCTGCCGATTTCCCTACCAAACTTAAAAATCATTGCCATTGAGTCAATTCCAACTCATAGTGACCCTACAGGACAAAGGAGAACAGCGCTATAGGGTTTCTAAGTATGTAAATCATTACAGAAGCAGACTGCTTCATTTTTCTCCCACAGAGCAGCCAGTAGGTTCAAACCACCAATCAGCTGGTTAACAGCCATATCCTTTAACAACTGCACCACCAGAACTCTTTAGATTTCCCTATAGATATTCCTAAAATATTAGTTGATCAATAGCATAATATAATGCACATATTGCTTGTACTCGGCCAGAGCTACTAACAAGCAATATATTAAACTTGTAAGAGTTTCTTATCTGATTCTTGTTTATTCAGTAGCAATTGTTCCTAAGTACTCAGATAAACAAAGAAACAGAAAAAAAAAGAACAAAAAAAAGGAAAATGAAGAATTAAAATGAACTAAGGAATTTAACAGGCCACAAATTTGTGTTTGATAATCACAAGGTAGTAGAAAGAATTGTGAGTTAACGGACCTGAACATGTGTGCAAGTTCAGCCACTAAGGACTTCTACAGCTACTTATGTCAGTTAATCTCTCTGAGTCCCACCTTCTTCATGACAACTATCATATCTATACTATCGGAAAGTATCAAAAAGAACCAAATACTCTATATTGTGATATAGCTGAGAGTGATATACTAATACGTAACATGAGTCAGAATCAACTCAATGGCAACTAACAATAAATATAACATTCATTGTCCCTGAATTCATACACCAAACATTAAAAACCTACGTGCTATCTAAACAGCAGATGGTGAAAAAATAGACCTAAAAGATCTAAATAACAGACCTAATAGATGGCTTTAAAAAAAAAAAAAAACCACTGCCACAATAGCAGTTTACAAAAAATGTATCACTCCCTCCTCCTTCCTTTTTCTTTACCTGTGTGATCTTTATTTCTTCTACTTACCTATCATTTTCTCCTACGTGAATAGCCTATTTGCAAGCACATTAATAACAGTTCTGATAACATTAATATCAGGTTGTGTGTTCTATTGAAAGTACCTTAGGATTTCATAACTAGATCTCTCATTAATTAATTTAAACCATAAGAAATGATTGGGTATCATATGTGAAATACTGTTACCTACCAGTGCCTCTGTATTTTTCAGTAGTTCACACGTAGACAAACAATCTTTTATACCCTTTCTCTGAGAACAGTTTCGAGATTTGTTATCAAATGTGTCTTCGCTCTTACACTGTTCAATTTTTAATCGGTCTGGATTTTTGCATTTGAAACCTTCATTGTCTTTATTGCAATAATTTTCTATACTATTAAGTTGAGTATTTTTCTCAGATGTCTTAGGTCTTTTTGAGTCTTTATTTGAGCACTTTTCATGTTTGTGCAGATATGCAGACATTTCCAGCATAGTGACTTTTATTTTAGAGTCAATTTGGTGATTTTTAAAAGATTTTGGATTATAATTTTCATTTTTTACTATTTTTTCCTTATTTTTATGTGTGCAAATACTGTTCCAATTTGAATACTGTTTATCAATTCCATTGTTAATGTCTTGCTCTTTAAATTGACATCCAGAAACTGCACTTTCCAATCTGCTCGTCAAATCTAAGTTATGTTCTTTGCAAGGAGACATATAAGAAGAAGTCAATAAATTAGTAGCTTTATTCTCTGTCTCCTGAAATGTACTTTGGATGATTTCACTAGGATTTTCCTGAGGCTGATTTCTTCTCATTTGAGCTTTGGAAGAGAACTTCTCTTTACTATTACATTTAAATGAACTAAAAGAATTATCAGGTATTAGGTTTTTTCCTTCACTGCTGTCTTCTAACAAGGAAAATTTTGGATTAGAAATGGAAATTGCGACATCATCTTTGTTTTTCTTCAACAAATTTTTGTCTTCATATGAACTCTTAAACACTTTAGAAGGAAACAATCTGGAGTCATGCATGTTGAATGACTGTCGAGGGATATGTGAAACTGTTGGATCAATGTGTTCCAAGTGTTGAGCAATCCTTGCAATAACATCTTGCCGCTCCTGGAGTAAGGAGCCTATCAAAGGATTAGTCTCACCAACGGATTGACGAGAATAAAGACTATTAGAAATGTAAGTTTCACTTCGAGGAATTTCTGGTTTTGCTCGAATTTTTCCCCCAGTGGTATCTTCTGGGGAAGTAAACTCTGGACTACCAAAAGAAATGGAGTATGTTTCCTTACATTTCCTCACATTATCACTTTCTTGTGAAACTCGGAAAAGTTTTGAATTAAGTGAACTAGACTCTTGTGTATTACACAGACGTCCAGAAACATGTGAAGTGCTTGGATCACAATGAATCAAATGCTGAGCAATTCTTGCTATAACATCTTGTCGTTCGTGAATTAAAGAGCCTATTAAAGGATTAGTCTCACCAACTGACTGCCAGGAATTCTGGTGGCTAGAGACACTGGGATCAATTAATGAAAATGATTTTAAAGTTCTCACTGATGTTTCACGTGACTTTACATCGTCTCCACCACTGAAGCCCAGAATATTGGCTTGAGATGCTCCATAGTCAGATTTACTGCCAGTGCCTGGATATAGTTTGACATTTTTGACAGCTGTAGCATATTCTGGATTTGTGCCATTTTTTGCATGTAATATACTTTCAGGTGCCACGGTCCAAGTTTGTTTGCTACACAGACGCTGTGAATTGTTTGTGCATTGTTCTACTTCATTAGAATTACGATGCTGATGGGTTTTAAGTTCATGTTCTTGAACTCTTTTCTCATAAAGGCCAATATTAGTGTGAATACTACATGTCAAAACTGGGTAATTAGATTGTCTGGGCAAGGACTGAACGCTGACTTTCAAGGCCACATTGTGAGAAACATTGGGAACAGGAAACACATGTTCAATTGGTGTCTGGGAAAAATTCCACTGTAGGTCTACATCAGCAGCACTGATTCTGGAATCAGACAAAAACACTGAATCAATGGATTATGAAAGTTGTATCTTTATCACAAAAAAATTTTAAAACAAGCATATACTTACTTATAATTGTTTGCATTAATTATCACTGAGGTTTTACTAAGCCACATTACCATGCATGTCATTCTGATAAAATCAAAATAAATGGTCAAAATAATAGATCATGGCTAGAACAGAAATGACCTAAGAACATTAAAACTTAAGAATATAATAATTTTAAATTATTTGTCAAAATAGTTTTAAAAAATAGGATTTTGTATTTACCTTTTTTTTTTTTTAAATTGTGATTTGAGTAAAAGTTTACAGAGCAAATTCAATTTCCATGTAACAGTTCATATACATTTTGTTTCATGATATCGATTGCAATCTCTATAACCTAACAGTTCTCTTCCCACTTCCTCCCTGTTTTTTCCTGTGCCCTTCCTTCCTATGCATTCCTGCCCTCTGAGCTATCTCCCTGTGCAAATACTGCCCTTCTGTTCGCCCAGGATTCATTGTTTTATGTAGTGTACCTACCTGGTGTAAATGTTCACCTTATACACCTCCCTACTATTTGGCTGGAAGCCATGGAAGTGAGTTCAAGATTTTATATTTACTCTTAAATGGATCCAGCTAATTCTATTGTACAAAAAGACTTAAGAGATACTCTCCATCTCTTGGACACATGCCTAAAGACAATTACACAGTTGTTCAGCAGCCTATATATCTGTACTTTTCAAGATGCCAAAAATCCAGGAAGTTTATCATTTTGGGAATTCAATAGCCCAGAAAGTTTTTCCATTTTATAATGGTAGTACTAAATCCATTCTTGATTCTCTGAAGTTAAGTTTTCTGAAAACTTTTCTATCCAAATTTAATTCAAGAAACTAATTCATACTGATTCTCGTTTAAATATCTTGAGCTTGTTTTATTGTTTATTTGGCTTATACTCAGGAATGAAGGAAATAAGCCACTTAATAGGTAAAATATCATTCAGTAGTTAACCAATGTGTGTGTATAAACACTTGTCTTTTTTTGTTCTATACATACCTGTAAAGAATATTTCGTGGAATAGCACCATGAGAAACACTCAGCCAAGCACTTAGCTGAGAAAAAAACACAAAAGAGCGGACAGCCAATAGAAGAGTCTTCTCTTCAATAAACCGATCTCCATTCCTAAGAGATGCAATAGAACGTAATATAAATGTTAGCAAGTACAAAATGACTGAATTTTAGACAGGTAGATGCTGAAGTAAACATATTACTTGGGACCTATGCTTTCAAGACCAATGTCACTTGAAGTCACATGAGTACTAAATATCTAAATGAAAAGGCTATTTTAACATAAATTAAGGATTTAAACATATAATCATTATTAAAAATAATGTATAGAAAGTAATGGAAAACCAGATTTACCAAGAACAAGCTAAACTTAACTTCTACAACTTACTGTCGAGGAACTGGCTCCAAGATCCATCTTTCCAGTAATAATGCATCTTGCTTAATTGCAGGATCATTAAGGTCAATTCCTTCTGTGGTTGGCCCGTCATCACTGTAGCAGCAGTCTGGCAGTAGCATTACTTCCACCATGATTGGAAGATTCTTTTTCCATAACAACGTGACCTCAGACCTGGTTCGTCTGGCTTGGCGACACTTAAGAGAAAATGAATATGAGCAAGATACCACAATAACTCATTCAAACTTACATTTAAATTCCTGAATTTAATTGTAAAGCAGTCAACTGTATGGGAAATGAGTCATCTTTTGCAGAGTTTTGTTCAGGCTTGGTTATTAGGTTCCTCACTACATAGAGGATTAACACTATGAGTGCCAGAGTACAGACATTAATATCGAACAACGGTTATGATGCAAATTCTCCTGAGAAGAATATCTCTGCTCTATGTCATGAAAAAAGAGCTGCTATGAGTAATGTCCAACAGGTTTCTGAGGTAGCTCAGCCTTGCCTCATTTGTTAATTAATCTTATTATTAAGAATGACTCTAAGTCTGAAGATGAAAATATTAAAAACTCATTCTCATTAAGTATTCAAAATGGACAAGCTTACATTTGAGAGAAAAATGTACATTTAAAAGGATTACATTTAACAGTGATGGAAATATTGCAATGATGAAGGGAAGGTTTGCATAGCTGATTATTGTAATTGCCATCAATAAGTTATATATCTGTAAAAAATTTAATTGGCAAAAGTTGTGTGATATATTTAAAATAAAACCCACTGCCGTCAAGTCAGATCTGACTCATAGAGACCCCTCCTTAGGTTTCTGAGGCAGTATCACTACAGAAGTAGATTGCCCAATCTTCCTTCCGAGGAGTGGCTGGTGGGTTTGAACCGCCAGCCTTCTGGATAACAGTCAAATGCCTTAGGCACTATGCCGCCAGAGCTCCTATATTTAAAATAATGTCCAAAAAAAAAATAAGAGTAGCTGCCAGGGCTGATTATATAAAACTAAAACTCTCATGGGATTTGGTTTCTTGGTTTGGAGGTTTAGGGTCATGGTTTCTAGGGCTATCCTAGTTAATTTGCCTAATAACATGTTTAGTACCCTTGTTCTACCTCCTAGTCTAATATGGAGTGCCAGGGGTCTTAGAATCTTGCAAGTGGCCATCCAAGGCACAACAATTAGTCTCTATTTACCTGGAAGAACAGAGAGGAAGAAGGTGAGTCAGGAATAGGAGGAGGATATGGAATGCATTGCTAATAGCCTCCATGAATAATTACCTCCTTTGCCATGAGACCAGAAGAATGGAATGGTGCCCAGCTACCATTACTGAACATTTTGATCAAAGATGTTATAGAAGAATCCTGATCAAAAGGGGGGAAATGCAGAACAGAATTGAAAATGCTCATGAACTCCAGATATCCTAAAACCATGAAGGTTGGATGAACACTTAAAACTATTGCCCTGAGATCATCTTTCAACCTTAAACCAAAAATACACCCTTGAAGTCTTATTAAGACCAAACAACAATTTAGCTTAACTAGTATAAAAGGTCTTGAACATTATGTTCTTTTAAGAACTACCTATATGGGATCAAATTGACAATAGCAACTTGAAAGGTTAGATGGGAACCTTATGTGGAAGTTAATTTATGTTAAGGAGAGAAGAACAATTCAGAAAAGGAAGGTGGGAATGGTTATACAACTCAAAGAATGTGACGTTCCAGGTAGAAACTGCTGAATTGGTATATATTTTGCTGTGTATATTCTCAACAACAACAAAATAAGTAAAATTATATTTTTTTTAAAAAAGGGATTATCTATCAAAAAATTAGTTTTAACAGTATTAATGATAGCAAAAAGCATCCCCTCATTCAAAAAAAAGGGAAAACTGGTTAGTGTGAGGAAGACAATCATAAATATCAATCTATTATATAAACTAACTTCCTAAAAGCATAATCACTTAAATATAGATTCTGATGTATGGTACTGGAAAAGACTGAGATTCAGCTTTATCCCTGTGGGCAGATAATTGCTAGAGTTCTTCTAATTGCAGGATGGAACAAGAACACAAAATAGATAAAGCAGGGCTGAGATTTTAAAAATAAATAAAGCTAACTCACAGCAGCAGTGGCAGTCTTCAATGTGGAATGTGGGAAGAAGCTAGCTAGGTAGGCCGCCTACCTGCCTGCTGATGAGCAAAACTACCTACTACGCTTTCTAGAGCCTTCCTTAAGAGCGAAGGCTACTAGCTATGCTCCAGGATTTTTTTTTTCTTTTCTTTATAGTTAGGACCAATTTTATATTTAAATTTTAAAAATTATCATGTATATAAATGATGCAATGAAAGTGATGACAGAAGTGAAGCTAGTTTATATGAAAGATAAATAAAAAGCCTTAGACATATGATTCTTACCTGAGCCAGTTTGTCACTACATTCATGTTTGGTTGTTACTAGGTAACAGGACTGTGCTGGAGGGCAATGAAAACTTTCCACTCGACCTTTTACAGAACATTCAGGTGTTCGTCCTTCTGTGATTAGCAAGGCCAAGGAGACCAAGAACTCCTCTGCATCATATTCAAAATATTCATCTAGAGTATCTAGTATTTAAAAGGAAAAAATGAAAAGGAAAGAAGAGTGCTCACTTTTTAATAAGAATTCATCTTTTATGCCTAAAATAACTAATTACACCTTCTATACTCAAGTATACTCACTAACAGAATGAAAAGAGAATAAAGATAAGGTAATTGAAACAAACTTTTGATTTACAAGGTACAGAAATGTGAGGACATGAATGTAAAACAGGCTCTTAAAATAAAAAAAATAAAAACAGAAAGAAATGTGATGACATGATGTTGTTGTTGTTATGTGCCGTCAAGTCGGCCCCAACTCATAGCGACCCCTCCTTGGGTTTCCTAGGCAGTATCACTAAGGAAATAGATTGCCCCATCTTTCTTCCGAGGAGTGGCTGGTGGGTTTGAACCGCCAGCCTTCTGGTTAGCAGTCAAGTGCCTGAGCCACTATGCTAGCAGAGCTCCTATGCTACCAGATGGCATGATAGATAACTCCAAATTCTAATTAAGACAAAGCTGGTTAAAATTATGGCATGAAATTGTTAAACTTCAGTTAGAATGCCATCTAAATTTAGAATCTTACAGATAATTATATTTGAGACAATAAAATAATTTTTAAAAAGACAATAGTTTTGGCACACAAAACATCACCAATATCAAAAATGTTAAAATGTCTTATTATGCCACATATTTTCAGCTAAGATGTTATTAGTATTGTTAAAATATTAGAAAGAGTTGCAGACCCAACTACCTGTTTCCTACCTTCTTTGGCTCCTTGCACTTAGTCCTAACTCCGTGATGTGGATATTCAGACCCAAGGAATCTTTTCTGCTTTTGCAATTCATTAGTAGTATGTTAGAGGGAGAAAATGTTATAATTATCCAGCAGAAAAGGCCTATTTCACCACATATTACAAAGTACTGAGTATGACATTTTGCTACAAAGAATCTACCCTGTCAATGTTTTCATTAGTTGTAGTAATTAAAAAATTTCTCATGAGTGCTCTAATTATTTTAAGCAGTTAATTTGGAAAACTGTTAACCTGCTACACAAGTCGAACACATACAATCCAATTGATTGTGCAATCCTGAAAAAGTTGCTTTCTCTTATCTCTATCAATTAAGTGACAAATATCCCATGTACCTACTGTATATATTGTATTAAGTGATACAGGACAGAATTGCACCATACATAGTTCCTAATCTCAAAGACTTCAAGATTTTTTTTAATGCAACATATAATAAATTCAAAATACGTTCAGACAACAATAATAAGCTTTTGCAAAAGAGGTAGATGTTGAGCTGAACTATGGATACATATGTCTAATAAAGGTACATGGTCATTCCAAATGAGGTAAATAATATGATCAGTATGGTGATGTGAAAAGCATACTTAATGGATGGTGAGAGACGCTACAGCTTGAGTGGAGGATTTATATTAAAAAAAAGTGTGGATAAGGCAGGGCGGAAGCCAGACTCTGTATAGTCTTGAAGGGTTTGATGAAGAATGCTTATTTCCAGCCTCAGGAAAGCTTTACAGGAAAAAGAGCCCCGAGACCCAAATTATTGAACTGGTATTTTAAGTAGACCATTCAGAAAAGTTTCCCTAAAATGACCATTGGCAACATATAAAATAACAGGCAACATTTAGATAGTAACTTACTTTTGCCAGGCATTACCACTTCTAAGTACTTCCTATACCTTAAGTCATTTAGTCCTCAGAGAAGCTCTACAAAGTGGGTACTATTACCACCCTTTCATAGATAAATAGTTGCCCAAGACCAACTACTAGAAAGCAGTAAAGTTGAGATTTGAACCCAATCTGGCCCCAGAATCTGTGCTCTTAACCACCATACATGCTATCTTTTATAGTAGTTACACATTTTGCTTTTATGTAACTTCAATATGGATAATTTTAATGTTTATTTGTAGGTCCCAAGGTCATGCAAAGGAGCTCTGGTAGCATAGTAGCTAATGTACTTGACGGCTAACCAGAAGGCTGGTGGTTCAAACGCACCAGCCACTCCTTAGAAGGAGGACAATCAGTAGGGCAATCTACTTCTGTAATGATCCTGCCTCAGAAACCCAAGGAGGGGTCGCTATGAGTCGGGTCTGACTCGACGGCACATAACAACAACAGGTAATGCAAGGGAGCTCTGGTGGTGTCATGCCTAAGGCATGTGACTGCTAACCAGAAGGCTGGTACTTCAAACCCACCAGCCACTCCTTGGAAGGAAGGTTGGGCAATCTACTTCCCCAGTGATACTGCCTCAGAAACCCAAGGAGTGGTTGCTATGAGTTGGATTCGACTTCAAGGCAGTGGTTGTTTTGTGTTTTGAGGTCACGCAAACAATTTGTGCTTGACTGCTAACCTAAAGGTTGGTGGTTCAACTTCATTCATTGGTACCATGGAGGAAAAGGACTGGTGATCTCCTTCTATTATTATAGCAAAAAAGAAAAACAATAAAACCCTATGAAGCAGTTCCACTGTTTTAACACATAGGATTGTCATGAATCGACTATTCTGAAGGCAACTAATAACAATATATATTTGTGAAAATAATATATATTCAACATATATTTTAAGGATATATTTTAGCATTTTTATGGTATAGAATTTGTTTCCCGGAAAGGAATACTAATTTTAATAAAATACCAATTGGAGAGAAAAGGGCTCAGTTTTCAATTCTCTTCCAAGAACCAATTAGACCATAAGTCAAGGGACTCCTATGTCTCTCGGGACTTCCTGAGTAAAATAATAGTATCCTGTATAAAGAAGGAGGCAAAACATGTGCAAGAGGAATTCATTCAGTCCTTTTCCCTGGTGATTCTGCGGGTTTTCAAGGCTGCCTTGGCTTGCCACGGACTACAAATGCATGACTTCAGCCGCCAAAGGATTCTCTGTGTTTATCCTGTTTCCTCTCAGCATGCAGTGTAATCCTAGAATGCTAAGAACTGTAGCAGAGCAGTGGCTCCTAACCTGTGGAATGCTGAATGATGTCTAGAAAGCAGCTAGCAGCTACTCCATGTGAGTATTAAGGACTGTTTACAGCAAAGTTGATGCCTCACACTTACCTGCTCAAACTCACTGCTGACGAGTGGACTCCAACTCACAGTGATCCCTCTTTGGGTTTCCGAGGCAGTATCTCTACTGAAGTAGATTGCCCCACCTTCCTTCCAAGGAGTGGCTGGTGGGTTTGAACTGCCAGCCTTCTGGTTAGCAATCAAGTGCCTTAGGCACTATGCCACCTGAGTTCCTACTACTTTAAAAAAGCTACAGATATTATTGGGATTATTGAAATCCAAGTGTATATAAACTGTGTAGTGGTTAAGGCATTTGGCTGCTAACCAAAAAGTCTGTGGTCCAAACCCACCAGCCACTCCTCAGAAAAAAGATGAGGCAGTCTGCTCCCATGAAGATTTATAGCCTTGAAAACCCAACGGCGGTCACTATGAGTCAAAATTGAGTGAGTTTGGTATGGTTTTGGTTTATAACATTTCTATTTTCTTAATCACAAATATTGAAAATAAAACTATTGTGTGGTGGCTTGTGAAATTTTTACCTAATGTAGGGGTCCTCACAAAAAATTTAGGGACCACTGCTAAGAAGGAATGTGACTGTCAACCTGTTATGGCTGCTGGGCACCCAGACAACCTACAGTGACTACAGCATGATTCAAGCCATGTAAATAAAGACTGTACTCTCTTCCTATAATGCACAAGACTGGAACATAACTCTATAACTCACTGCAGAAAATACTAACTATTATCAAGGACCTTTGCTAAAATGGAATTTAATTTCTATTCTCTGGTGCTAAAAGTCAATGCATATATACACTATAGGAAAAACAAAGTTTAAAGTGATAAAAACTAAACTGTTATGTGGAAATACTTTGGAATGATATAACATTTGACAAAATTGTGGTCTTTTAATCATCATCTCCTAAATAAATTCTAAAACTATGATTATAGGCTGGGAATAAGTTATAAACACAATCATTTAGATGATTTACTGAACTTAACCAGGGTATAAAATATTTAAATGAAATTTTTTAAAAAATTAGCAATAATAGTAATTACCTGTATGCAACTATTACGTAAGTATTGCAAGGAATATTATGGATTACGTAATAGTATTATGAAACACCAAATACTATCTAAGTACATGTGACCATAAATGTCAGGAAAAATTTATAGATTTTTTAATTTTAATAAATGAGAATGTAGAATCATAGCTATCATTTGCATAAACAAAATATTATCAGTTCTATGTAGCAAACACACAAATATATTAAATTTATATCAACCACTATTCTCTGATCGTTATCAGATAAATTATCAGGTCCATTGACTAGAGAATAGAGTGTAAGTAAAAGCATTGCTTACTGGTATGTAAAGCTTTTCAAAAATTAGAGTTATTGCTTTCTATTGCCTCCAAGCAGGTCACAGTTTGATTACTTAATATAGAATTTGTAATGTTACACCTAAGTAAGTATATTTGATTCTGGTGTTGAAAAGTTGGAAGGAGAAAGGGGTTAGGAATAAAGGTCAGGGCCTAGATCACATAGGATTTTGAAGCCAGGGCAAGGACTTCGAATTTTACCCTAACTACAACGGCAAGCTATGAGAAATTTTAACTAGAGGAATGACATGATTTGATTTACATTTTAAAATAATCACTCTGGCTGCTATGTCAATAATAGAATAAGAGAGAGAGAAGCAAGTAGATACACTACTTTGGTATACTGTTGTTATGTGTTATGACCCAGCTCATAGTGACCTCTCCTTGGATTTCCAAGGCAGTATCACTACGGAAGTAGATTGCCCCATCTTCCTTCTGAGGAGTGGCTGGTAGGTTTGAACTGCCAGCTTTCTGGTTAGCAGTCAAGTGCCTTAAGCACTATGCTACCAGAGCTCCCTTTGGTATACTAGGTACCGTATTTGTCCAGTTTGGGGACTCATTGGCATTTGGACAGGATTTAGAGTCAAGAGTTACCTAGGAGAACGTGTAGATAGAATGGAGAAGGG